ACTATCTACCTGGAGATAGCACCAGGTCTCATAAGGGCTCAGTCTCACATGACTGTCCCCCACCGCCAGGCCCACAGATACTTCAGATAGCAGTCACAAATCTAGATGACTTGTGGTTCTGACCCATCAGCTATAATGTGGAAGTTCCCAAGATGCCCTCTTAAGATTTGATTAATTTGCTAGAGTGGCTTATAGAACTCAGGAAAAAGTTTACTTGCTGTTTACCAGTTTATTATAAAAAGATATGATAAAGGATATAGATGAACATCAAGATAGAAAGATAGGACTAGGTCTGAGATGATCCCGAGTGCAGGAGCTTCTCTGTCCTGTGGAGTTGGGGTGTGTCACCCTCCTAGTATGTGAATGTCATCAACCTGGAAACTCTCCAAACCCCGTCCTTTGTGATTTTTATGGAGGCTTCCTTAATAGGAATGATCAATTAACAACTCCGTATCCAGCCCCTCTACCCTCTCTAGAGAGCTGGACTTCAGAGAGGCCCATATGGCAAGGAACTGGGTTACTGTCTGGCCCACAGCCAGCAAGTGACTGAGGCCCTTAGTCTAACCATGTGATCTTGCAAGCAGATCCTTCCCTAGTTGAGGATCAGATGAGACCACTGTTCTGACCAATACCTGACTACAACCTTGTAAGACCCTGAATCAGAGGACCTAGCTAAGCCCTATCTGGACTCCTGACAGAGAAACTGTAAGATAATAAATGTGTGTTGCTTTAGGCTACAAAGTCTCTGATAATTTTTTAGGTAGCACTAGATAACTAACACCTAGGATACTAAAGACCAGTATTCATAAATGTCATAATTCAGTGTTTCTCATTACTATCTGTTCTATGAGGATGATGCTTTGTTTCAAGGCTAACGATTACATGTGTGATCCACATCCAAAGTCCACTCTTGTCTGCTCATCAGAATTACTAGGGATGTTTGAACCCTTAGCCAGAGCTAATCAAACAGAATCTCTGGAGCTAGAACCTGCTGGAATGTATTTTTTTAAAAATTCTCTGAAAATTATCTTTTTTTTTTTTTTAAGATTTTATTTATTTATTTGACAGAGAGAGACACAGCGAGAGAGGGAACACAAGCAGGGGGAGTGGGAGAGGGAGAAGCAGGCTTCTGGCTGAGCAGGGAGCCCGATGTGGGGCTCGATCCCAGGACCCTGGGATCATGACCTGAGCCGAAGGCAGACGCTTAACGACTGAGCCACCCAGGCGCCCCTCTCTGAAAATTATCTTGCCCAAGAGATTTATTAACTACAAAGGAAGAAATAGTACCTTTAGAGTGGAGAAATCTAAGCATCTTAACCATGTGATCAGTGGTGACATCACCAACAAGACACATCAACATCGTGTATCCTCTGGTATTATGCTCTGAGGATATATTACTTCTGTGGTATTAATGCATAACCTTAATGTAATCAGAGAAAATACGGGATCAAACCCAAACTGAGGAATATTCTACAAAATAACTGGCCAGTATTCTTAAAAAAAAAAAAAAGTGTCTAAGTCATGAAAGACAAGAAAAGACTGAGGAACTGCCACAAATTGGAGGAGACAGAAGAGAAATAACAAGTAAATGCACCACAGGATCTGGAATCAGTGGCAAGGACTATAGTTTAATTACTAGTATGTATCTATGTTAATTTCCTGGTTTTGATAATACTAAGTTTATATAAGACGTTAACATTAGGAGAAACTGGATGAAGACGATATAAGAACTGTTTTTGCAACTCTTTTAATAAATCAAAAATTATTTTGAAATAAAAACAAACAAAAAGCCTCTACTTGGGAGTTTCTCACAGTATTTACTTTTGCTCTTCAGAAGCACAAGTAACAACCTAGACACTTACTTTCACTTTGGTGATAGCCAAAGGACTGAGCTGGAGGAATGACCGTAGACCAGATCAGGGTGCCATCTTATCAGAAAACAGAAACACCTGGAATGCTTCCTGCATTTTGAAACATTTACCCCCTTTATTTTGTTTTTCAAATTACAAAAGTAATATATGTTGTAACAAGTAAAACAATACAAAGATAAATAAATTAAACAACTGCTTATTTTTCCCTTCCGCCCACCAAGGTAACCAATGTTAATTAACACCTTGCTGTATATCCATCCATACTTTTCTTTGTTCACAGAAACATACATGCATATATATACACATACAGTTTTATTTTTTTAAAAATAGATTCATATACATTATTCTGCAATTTTCTCTTTTCACTTAACAATATACCATGAACATCTCCACAAATTAGCAGAGTTCTAGCTCCCCACTGAAATAATTTTAATCACACATTTGAGATATCATACTGGGTTCATTTATATATTTTTTTCTATTTGGCTTTCATTTTCCTTGACTCCCTCATAACCAACCTGCATCACCCACCTCCCCCCAACCCAATGTATACTCTTCTATACTTTTCTTCATGCATAGAAAATCATACACAAACATACATGGATACATGTTTTTCACTCAAACAGCTAGAGGAATTTTGTCACTGATTTAAAAAACAGGCTCATATTTTACACACTTACCTGTACTTTTTTTGCTCAAGAAAACATTGTGGAATTCTGTTCAAATCCACTAGCATAGTTTAATTTGTCCACCTTAATGGCTATATAAACATTATATGGAATGGATATACTAGTTTCTCCCCTCTTCAAATTTCCCTACTGATGGGCATTTATTTTGATTCTAGTGTTTTATTGCCAGTAGGAACAATTTTATAATAAATATACATATTCATCTGTCCTTTATGTATTGGGGTTTTACTTCTAAGAGAAGATTCCCCGAAGTGGCATAAATATTTTAAGTTATAATAGATGTTGCCAGATTGCTTTTCAAAAGAGCTGTAATTTATGTTTCCGCCAGCAGGGTATAAGAACAACCTTTGTTGGGACAGCAAAAAGCATTCCTGCCATTTTCTGTCAGTTTGATTGCATACAGTTATCTCATTATGACTTTAATCTGTATTCCCCAACAACTACCAAGGCTATACATTTTTTGATGGTCCCACCAGCCACTTGGATTTGCTCTTTTTACAACTTGTCTATTCACATTTTCTGCCATGTTTTGCCATTGAGTTATCGCTTTCCTGTCAATCTGAAAAGCACTTCTCTGACTGGCTTTGCAAATATTTCACCCAAAATTATAATGTATTGACTTTGTTGATGGCACCTTTTGCCATACAAAAGATCATAGTTTTACGTAGTCAATTTTTTCCTATTTTTTATTTTTATCTAAGTAGATTCCATGTCCAGCATGGAGCCCAATGTAGGGCTTGAACTCATGAACTGAGATCAAGAGTCAGAGGCTTAATGGACTGAGCCACGCTGGCTCCCTATTTTTTATTTTTTAATAGCTTTTATCCTGTGTTGATAAAATTAATCTCTTAAACTGTACGTGTAGTCTTTCATTTTCCTTTAAGAACTTATGATTTACAAAATTTAAATCTGAAATCCACCTGGATTTTTTTTATATGGTTGGTGCTGCTAGTCCAACTTTACTTTCTTCCTGATTAAAAGCCAATTGTAACAACTCTTTTTAAATAAGCGATTCCTTTCCCCTATGGTTTGAAATTCTAGCTTTTCCATATATGAGAAAGTTCATATACACTAAGGTCTATTTCAGGATATTTGATGCTGTTCCATTGATGTATTTATCGGTTCCTTTGCCAATACTTTATTAAAGTGACTTCATGTTATATTCCAACATCTGGTATGCAATTTTCTTTTTCATACTTTTCTTGTTTAGATTGTTAGAACAAATGTTTTTCCATAAGGACTTTAAGATCATTTCACATAAGATTAAAAAAAAAAAAAGGCACAGACATTTAGTGTAATTCCAAAAGAAGTGTATATATGTTATTAGATGTTTACAGAGAGAAGCTTTTAATTTCTATACTGTCTTCTCAGAAAATTGTCTTTTAACTCAAAACAATTACTAGTCTCTTCATTTATTGATATACAATCATATCATCAGCAAAAAATTTTACCTTTTTTATTGTTTATACCAATTATTTAATTTTATTTTCTATTGCCTTCATTGGAAACTCTAAGACAATATTTAGTAAAAATAGACAGCAGTGAACACTTTTATCTCTAATACTATTAAATTCTTAATCTTCAAAAAATCGTTTTAACATAATATATGCTATAGAGTTTTGGTAAAGAGAATCTTAAGTGGTTATTATATATTACAATTTAACTTACATGTTTGCAAAATTCAATTAAATACCTTCCAGCATCTATGATGGCATCTTCTCTTTCAAACTGTTAATTTTATTGATGTATTTCCTCTTACTGCATTGGCTCTGCATTCTTGGAATAATTCTTACTTGGTCATTATAATACATCATTCTTAGGTATACTGCTGAATTCTATTTGCTATTATTCTAATTATAATTTTTTGTTTCTAAACTCATGAGTAAGACTGGTTTGGGGTTTTCTTTTTTCCACTACTTTGGTTTTGGTGTTAAAACTTATTCTGACTTCATAAAATAAATTGGGGATCATAGTCTATGGGCTGAAATATTTCAAATAACACTGGTATTACTCTTTAAAAGTTAGATGAGGGGCACCTGGGTGGTTCAGTCAGTTAAGCATCCGATTCTTGATCTCAGCTCAGGTCTCAATCTCAGGGTCATGAATTCAAGCCCCACGCTGGGCTCCATGCTGGGCATGGAGCCTACAAAAAAAAGTTAGATGAAACTAATTATAAAAACACCCCCATCTGGGCCTGGAGCATTTTTCAATCCTAGATCTTTAATCACTTTTCCAAACTCTTCAATGGTAATTGTTCTATCAAGTTTCTACTTCTTATTGCAATTTTTCTAACTTACATTTTGCTAGAAAAACATTTATTTCCTCTTTTAAAAGCATGCTGATTTACAGTTGTAAGAAATATCTTTTATCATTCTTTTAATCACATCTTTATCTGTGATTGTTTCTTTTTTTTCCAAGTTTTTATTTAAATTCCAGTTAACATACAGTGTAATATTAGTTTCAGGCGTAGAATTTAGTGATTCATCACTTAAACACAACACCCAGTGCTCATGTGATTGCTTGCTTTCTCATTCTGGATCAGGCATTCTTATAGCGAGGCAAATCTTGCACAATATGGCCATTTGTTTTATTTGGATGACATGGCAGCTCAGGGAAGCAGACTTTGTTCAAAGACTGGAATGATGAAACAACTTGGGTTTTAGTGCCCAGGACATTCACAGGGAAATTGATAGGGAAGAAAAGTGGATGTTGCTGAATTAATTTGCAAAAAGAAAAAATAAAAACAGAAAAATTTTCCTTCTTTGGTCTCTGCATGAAGCATTTCTGAATTATAAGACTCATATAAACAGTGTCTTTCCTACTAATTTGCTGCAAGGCATGTTAAGCAAGACTAAGAAAACAGAAGAGGTGCACAATATACCACAGCCACACTACTTTTTGTCAAATAATGGCTGTGCTGAGTAATCAAGTTTATGGTATTTTGTTCATCCAATATTAGGTTGTGAAACTATTCCTTAGCTTTGCCTTTTTAACATTAACAAATGTTATTATCATTATTTTTTATATTGTTAAGACAGTAAAAGACAATGGTGATATTTAGAGTGGAAAAGTTGGTGAATGGCATTCTACATACTACGTGACACATATGCTTGATATTCACGATTTACATTAAATTCACATTTACATTTCCAAAATATAATGCTTATTATGTGGCTCACGGTGGAATATACCAGAATATACCAATTCTCTTCACATATATTTTGTATGCTGTTGTCATTCCATTAACATATTTTTAAACTTTCATAAGCCAGAGTAACCATGTTTGTTTTATAAAGTATTTTCTATAATCTTTGTATAAAAATTTCTATCACAGTTAGAACGACTTCCCTTATGGTAAAACATTTTGTCCAAATTCATTAAATCAATGAGATTTCTCCTAAAAATGAATGCCTCCACATATAATGAAATAGGATACCTTGATTAAGGCTTTCTCACAATTATCAGGTTTTAATTCCTATAGGCATTCTTTCTGGCATGAATTTTCTGATGTCTACTGAGGTTTGGCTTCTGATAAAAAGCTTTGCCACATTCACTGCATCCATAGGGTTTTTCTCCTGTATGAGTTCTCCAATGTTTATTGAGGCACGACTTTTGGCTGAAGGCTTTCCCACATTCTCTGCAACGATATGGTCTTTCTCCTGTGTGTATTTTTCGATGTACATTGAGGTATGACTTCTCACCAAATGACTTCCCACATTCACTGCACACAAAGGGTCTCTCTCCAGTATGTGTTCTTTGATGTTCTCTGCGGTGTGACTTCTGAGTGAAGGCTTTCCCACAGAAAAAACATTCAAAGGGTCTTACCCCAGTGTGAATTCGCTGATGTTTAATGAGGGTTGACTTATGTGAAAAGGCTTTCCCACAGTCAGTGCATCCATATGGCTTCTCCCCAGTGTGACTTCTCTGATGCCTAATGAATTCAGACTTGTAGCAGAAGGCTTTCCCACACTCGCTACAGACATGGGGTTTCTCTGTAGGTGGAACCCTCTTACGTTTGTACACAAGAGAATTGGTTACTGCTGGTTTATACATAAGTGCTGGGTTGTGGCTGAAAGCTTTCTCACAATGACTGCATTCCCAGAGTTTTTCTCCATTAGGTCTTCTATCATGGTTTGTACGTTGTAACAATTTCCCACATCCACAGCACTCATCTTGTTTTTTTGAATAGCTTCTCTTAAAACCAATAAAATCTAAATTATGGTTTGCACTCTTTCCACAGGGGTCCCAGTTTGTAGGGTTTTGAATTGAAGGAAAAAGATTAGTGCTCAGAGGTGATATTTTCCCAAACTTATTGCTTTCATGGCTTCTTTCCTTGGGCAATGTTTCCTTGCTGATGAATGCACCTTGTTTCAAAATCATGTCTTGTCTTTTCCTCTGGACATTAACTTGACAAATGTTTTCTGGAGAAAACACAGCAAACCTTTCTTTATTCTATTAATATGATCTAGAATAAAATTACTTGAGAAATACCCTAAGAATTTAAACAATGCACAATACATGAACAGAAAGCATGAACCATAACTAAATGCAGGGAAGGGCATTGTACGAGTACAGAAGATTCACAACACTGGCACTAATGAAATGGAGTATGTCAGAGGGTACAAAGTAATAATTTTGAAGAAGATGGGATATTGTAGAGCAGTGGTTGACAAACATGTTCTTAAAGGGCCAGAGAGTAAATTTTAGGCTTTGTGGGCCATATGGTCTCAGTCAAAATTACTCAACTCTCCCATTGTATTTGACAAACATAAGACAGTATATAAATGTAAAGGCATGGCTGGGTTCCAAAAAAACTTTATTTACAAAATCAGGTGGCCAAACTATAGGCTGTAGTTTGTCAATCCTGTTACTGAGGTGTCATATAGAACCTTGCTATTCAATGTGTGGCTCTTGGGGCGCCTGGGTGGCTCAGTCGTTAAGCATCTGCCTTTGGCTCAGGTCATGATCCCAGGGTCCTGGGATCGAGTCCCGCATTGGGCTCCCTGCTCAGCGGGGAGCCTGCTTCTCCCTCTCCCACTCCCCCTGCTTGTGTTCCCTCTCTCGCTGTGTCTCTGTCAAATAAATAAATAAAATCTTTAAAAAAAAATGTGTGGCTCTTAAAAGAGGGAAAAGAAAGGCAGCTGATAGCCAGGTTACTATGGTTTCAGGAAGGTTGATGAGCGTAGTTTAATGATGCAAAATACATCTTAGAGGGCACCAGAATGTGATGGTTAGGAGTACTGGTTCTGAAACCTGACCACATAGGCTCAAATCTCTGTTCAGTCCCTTACTTTACTATATGTTCTTAGATAAGTTTCCTAACTTTTCTGTGACTGTTTCATTTGTAAATGGGGTAATAAAGGCTGGATATCTCACAGGTGTTGTAAGGGTTGAATGAAATGATATATGTAAAGGGCTGAGAACAAATCTGGCACAGAGTGAGCACACACATTGGCCAATAATTCTAGTGCTGTTGCTGCTACTACTACAACCAAGGTGGATGAACAGTGGATGGTAGTAATTTCAGAGACATCATTTTGGGGAGAAGCATGAAAATGACTTGAATGTTTTTGGGGTTCATGTAATATTTAATTCAATTATGTGATTACAACACCAAGCGTAAGTGGCATAAACAGATTGGGAACAGATAGCACTGACTATTCTTGCTAAGCCCATGACTCTTGTGGAGAAGCAGAAGTTCAAAGGCATCCTGAAGAGTAGGTTACCAACACTTGGGGTGCCATGGGTATTGTTGGGATATTTTACAGAGCTGATGGGAAAGGGGCAGTTATTCTGAATGTTAAATGAAAACAGTTAAGATGGGCCAAGCTCAGTCATGTGCTTTACTGCCCCGCTGTCCTTGGTTACTTGAAATTTAATACTTCCTCCTCTTGGACTTCAGGAAACTAAAGGACTAAGGGATAAGGAAAGGATGGGAAGTGAGAGTGTGGGTATGGCGGGCAGGTCTGGGGCATTTTACCTGGAAACTGTGAGAACAGGAAATAGGAAGGGACCAGCCGGAGCGGGAGAATGACAGAAGCTTATTTGTAAGAATGCCTGAATGTGAAAGAGAAGGTGTACTGAAAACCTTAAGAGACCAAGGATTCTAGAGAAAGGGCAATGGAGCAAGAACACAGGGAGAGATGAGATGAGGAGGAGAAGGAACACCTGGATAAAGGAGGTGGGGTGCATGGAGGATGAAGGGTCATCAAGAAGGCTAAAGCTCTCAGGGAAATGTCTCCAGCTGCTTGCAAAGCTCTAAGGCTTTTGAGAGCTGGACTCTGAACAAAATCCCAAAGGTGCCAGCCTCCCATAGTACCTCTTTTGCTGGATGTATACTTACCCTGACAGTGGCAGCCTGAGCATGCTGCCTCACAAATCCATGGTGCTTCTTCCTGCTCCAGCTTGAGGATCACATATGGTTTAGTGCCTTCATAACCTGTTCCAGGGAAATGATCCAGGCCTTGGGCTGAGCTCCTTGGTCTTCAGGGCCACTCAGGCAGCATTAAAGGCTGCACAACAGATATTGTACTTGGGAGAAGACTGTACACACACCTTGTCCAGAACCCAAAAGGAATTAGTAACCCAGGACCACTGAACCTCAAGCCAAATTAACTGAGGCAGCACAGTGTAAGAGTCAGGAACGCAGAATGTGCAGCCAGACTGCTGGGGTTCAAATCCTACTCTTGGCCCTGTATGTACTAGGTGAGTGACACTGGGCAAGTTACTTCGCCCATCTGCCTCTGTTTCCAAATGTGTAAAATAGTGGTACTAATAGTACCTACCTCATAAGGCTCTTAGGAGAATTAAATAAGTTAATACTTTAAAAGTGACTGAAATAGTGTCTGGCACATAGGAAGTATTTGGTACTTCTGAGGCTCTAGGTACCTCAGTTACTTTTAGCAACTGAAAAAGGAAAGGCGGTCATTCACGCATAATCTAAATTGTGTGGTGGAGCTGTTCTTACCCACTGAGACAAGGTTGCTGTAGGTCTCCAGCATCACATCCCGGTACAGTGCCCTCTGAGCAGGATTCAGCCTGTGCCACTCCTCTTGAGTGAAGCCCACTACCACGTCTTTGAAGGACACAGGTCTCTGCTGAGGATGAAATGGCATTGAGTCATGTGGGAAAATGTAGCCAGGGGTGGATGGTATGGAGTTTTTATGTTTCTAGGTCAGAGCTTATCATGATAATTTATCTATCTAGGATGCGCTTACATTCCTGGCTTTGGGCTATGTATGGTAGGGAAAATAACAATCACATTGGAACCCACTGTCATATACACTTTGAGTCAACATATATTGACTGAAGAAGACCTGCTGTGTGTAACCCACTGCTGGCTGCTGGAGACATAGTCATGGATGGTTCCTGACCTCAAGGAGCTCACAGCCTGGCAGAAGGCAATATGTAAAGCCATCCAGGTGAAAGTATATGAGCTATGGTGGCAGGACATCTAGGTTACAGAAAAGTGTGAATGATCCATTAAATGTTTCAAGGTCTAGCAAGGCTTCAGAGCTAGGGGACATGTGGAGTTGAGCCTTCTCTGCAGAAAGATGGAGAAACTGCAATCCTTGCAGACAGAGCAGCATGAACACAGGCATGGGGATAGAACAGTGATTTTAAGGGCTGCGAGGCTCTCAGTAACAGGAGGAGTATAGAGGGGCGTATGAGTGATGAGATGATGGACTTTAAGACAATGGAAAATCTATCAAGGGAGAGGTGTGTGTAGAAAGCACATTCTATTAGGCATGTGGTAAGTTTCTTGATCCCATGTCAAGTGGTACAGCGGTAACTCTAAGCAGACTGAAAAGTTAAGAATATACCTTGTATCCCTAGAGGAACCACTAAAATCATAGTGCAAAGAGATGTACTGAAGTAAATGAAGTAAATGAATTCCAAAAAATATTCATTTAATTCACACAAACACACACGTAAAGAGAAGAAATAGAGGAACAAAAGCACATGGGACAAATAAAAAACCAAATACTGAAAAGATACAAATCCAACATAACAATAATTATACTTATATTCAATGATAGTAAATTATAAATTAATATATGACTGAACACTCCAAAAGGCAGAGATTGTTAGGCTGGATTAAAAAAGCAATGCTGGGGTGCCTGAGTGGCTCAGTTGGTTAAGCGTTTGCCTTCAGCTCAGGTCATGATCCCAGGGTCCTATGATCAAGCCCCACATCGGGCTCCCTGATCAGCGGGGAGCCTGCTTCTCCCTCTCCCTCTGCCACTCCCCCTGCCTGTGCTCTCCTGCTCTCTCTCTGTGAAATAAAATCTTTTAAAAAATAAAATAAAAAAGAAGTGCTGCCTGTAAGAGATACAAAACTCACAGATAATTTGCAAGTGAATGGATACAAAGAGAAATGCGGTGGGTGACCTGGAGGGAAGTGAAAGCAAAAACTGCAATAATGCAGGTAGAAGATGGTGTTCGCAAGTGGGACAGTAAAAATGAGACAGAGAAGGACCATTGTAAAGAAGAGCAGAACCTGCAGCTTAACTGGTTGTGTGGGGGTGAAGGAGGGGTAAGGGTAACACCCAAGTATCTCAAAGCCAACTGGGTGATGGTGAATCAGGTATGAGAAAAACAGCAGAAACAAAGAGGATGTGTTGTTAGACATGTCTGGGGACACATGGGTGGAGACACTTCGCATGCAGCAGGATGAACATAGAATCTTGTATCAGAAGAAAGATCAGGAAGGGAGCTAAAGCTCTGGAAGCAGCAGCAGAGAAGCGGTAGCTAAAGTTGTCAGTGTGGGATCTCTCTGCAAGGAGACAGGATGAGCAAAGTGTCCAGGCCAGAGCCCCAAGGAACCCTAATAGATTTCAGCTGGAGACCCAAGAGGACTTACAGGTACTAACCTAAGAGGGCACCTGTGATATTGTGATATATTAAGAAATATATATTTGGTTTTCCTTCCTCGTTCCTGGAACAGAGCTTCTTAAACCCTTATAACTTCCTGAGTAACAGGGGTAATAGGAGTGTCTTTTGTTATTCCTAACAAGCCTCAGTCAACAATACACAAGTTTATGCCAATGACATGGAGGAAGGGGGCTAGTTGCCAGAGGAACTAACCATATGATTAGAGGGCTGGAACTTTCAGCCCCCTTTTCTACCCTGCCCAACCTCTGGGTCAGGGTGGGGGTGGGTGGGTGGTACCAGAGATTGAGCTAATTACCAATAATGATTTAATCAACGATGCCTACATGATGGAAATCTCATGAAAACCCTGAAGAGCTTTCAGGTTGGTGAACACATCTGGGAAGATGCACACCCCAAACTCCAGACAGAAGCTCATGTGCTCAGGACCATTCTGTACCTTGTTATCTGGCTTTTCATTTGTATCCTTTATAATAAACCTGTAATAGTAAGTAAAGTGTCTCCCAGATTTGTGAATCACTATAGCAAATTATCAAAACTGAAGAGGGAGTCATAGGAACCCCCTGACTTATAGCTAGTTGGTCAGAAGTTCAGGTGACAACCTGAGATTTGTAATTAGCATCTGAAGTGGGGGGGGCAGTCTTGTGAGACTGAGTCCCTAACTTGTAGGGTCTATGCTAACTCCAAGTTGAACTAAGTTGTAGGACACCCAGTTGGTGTCCATGGAGAATTGGGAGAATTGTTTGGTGTAGGGAAAAAACTCCCCTATTCCTGTGAGTAGAGGAAACAGTACCTATGATATATCTTCAAGTGACTGTAAAGAACTGAACTTTCCCCAAAGAGAGGTCTGATCTTTGCACTCAGCTCCTGGGAGTTAATCTCTAAGCCCCTGCAATGTTCTGTTTGATAAGACCGTCTTTGTTTACCTGGAGGCCTTGGGCCACATGAGATAGTCTAACAATGTGATTTCTGGTGGGGGCTTTGGGTCACAGGCATCAGCTCAACCTCAGGAGGAAGCTGTACATCTCTTTAAAAAATGTGGGGTCCTACAGTGGCACCTGAGCAGTAGCCCAAGCAGATAGACCTGAAGGCAGGACCTGGCACATGAGACCCTAGACCCATACAAAGGCCATGTACATAGGAGGTACCAACCAGATATCCTCTCTGATGTCAGAATAACATATCATGGTAGTGGGAGAACAGCAGTCAGTCTTTTACCACAGAGCACGGGGCCTGGCTCAGTTGACAGGCCTGGGTCAGTATTTCCCAAACAGAGCTAATTGGAGTGGGAGGGAATGGGATGGGATGGGATGGGAACAGAACAAAATAGAAAAGATGTAATTTGACACCCATAAAGGCATGTCATTTTCACCAAACATAGGGATGAAGAGGAAAGAGATGGAAGAAACATTAAGGTTGTAAAATTACCATCACTTAGTGACTGAGTGTGAGAATGGGAAGGCAGGGAGAAGTCAAGGATATGGTCCTGGCTTGTCCAGTGGGATGGTACCATCTCCTGAGATGGGAAACTGTGGCACAAAGAGGTTCAGAGACTTGTGCAAGGTCATACAGACGGTAAGGTCTGGGATTCAAACTCAACAGTCTGGCTCCAAGTCTGTGCTCTCACCCAGTACATGCTGTTGCCTTCTGCACAGAAGGGGGCAAAAGGTACAGTCTACTTTAGCAGAACAATCAGAAAGCATCTTCTGATTTCAGCCTCAAAAAAGTCACCTGGGCCCTTGGCCAGAAAAGCTTTAGTCAGGTGGGGAGAGAGGCTGCTGGACTCAAGAAAGAGGATATGGAAACATCAAGAGCAGGAAGTCACTACAAGAGATGGAAGGAGGCCAGGGGAGAAAGGAAAGGCCTTTGTGGTTTGGAAGTGGTGATGGTTTCTAGGGTTGGAGGCACTGACAATGGTTGTAGGGACAAGGGAAAAGATGTGGGAAAGGGGAGAGGATGGGTCTCCAGAAAGAGATGTCCCTCCTGGAGGGAAACCTCCAAAGAGGTGGAAATGTAGGAACTCAGGGGCTGAGGCGGAGTCCTGTCAGGACGCAGGGAACTTCACCATCATAAGACGGTGAGGAAGGAAGGGGGAGCTGGGAACTCTTCACACCAAGACTTCGTGGGGACTAAGATGTTCACTGTTTGCTGCCAAACTAGTAAAGACAGTTAAGGGAATGACAGTAATTTAGATAATGGACAGCTCATCTGTTCCTCAGTCTAGATCAAGGACACACATACCCTGGACCAAAATCAGGACTTCCATAAATGGGGAGGAATCTTCCTGCCCGCTCCTTTTGAAAATAAATAATATTTGATTTTCACTTTCCTCTAACTGAACTTTAGTATTTTATTCCATTACACATGTGGCTGCAAAGCACAGAGGAGTTAAAACTTCCTGCAACTCTGACACTGATAAAAAACATTAACACTTCATTGGGAAACTAAGTCATGATGCTTCTGGTCACCTCGAAATCCAGGAGTTCTGTGGGGCTAATACTCAACTCCAAGGGAAGAGCTGAACCACTGTAGAAAACATGCTTCTACATTGGTTAGTTATCGTTAAGAATTTTGTCCTCTCTGCCAGTGCTTCTCACACTTACAAGAGCATAAGGATCACCGAGAGCTTGTTAAACATAGATTCCCAGGCTCCACCCTCAAATCACTTGATTCAACCAGGTCTGGGGTGGGGCCTGCCATTCTGTAGTCTAACAAGCTCCTTGGAGAAGCCCATGTCCTGGGACCACACGGTTAGCAGCAGTGTTGCTCTACCTCAGCCATAAGAAGGCCCCTCAGGGAAATGTCTTTAGAAAATGCCTTGGAAAGCTAGTTTTCTCTTAGAAATAACAGCAAGCTTCCATCCTATGGCCAGTGCAAATCATGGGCTGTGTTTGCCTTTTTGCTGGGCCACCAGGAAGACCACAGTTATAGACTCTTGTTGGACTGTTTCGTGTATCTGTATTCCAACAAAGAAGGTTCCTTGCATCATTCCTTGTAATATCAAATTTGGAAATTCCCTGAATGTCATAAAATGGAGGGCTAGTTAAATCAGTCATATTCCATGCGTAGGATGGAGCATTATGTACCTTGTTTAAAAAAAATGGTGTGGGGGCGCCTGGGTGGCTCAGTCGTTAAGCGTCTGCCTTTGGCTCAGGTCGTGATCCCAGCGTCCTGGGATCTAGCCCCGCATTGGGCTCCCTGCTCCGCAGGAAGCCTGCTTCTTCTTCTCCCACTCCCCCTGCTTGTGTTCCCTCTCTTGCTATGTCTCTGTCAAATAAATAAATAAAATCTAAAAAAAAAAAAAAATGGTGTGGTCCCAAGTACTAATATGTACAATCTCTAAGGTATTTTATTTGGGAAAAAAGGGGGTAGAGTAGTACGTATAATAAGGGTCTTGCCATTGTATCTATGTGTAGATAGAAGCTGTGATGTTCCACTCAAATCCCCCTGAAGGACTGAGGTATTCTCCCAGCTGTTAGAAGACTGGCTACTGCAGGCTTGAGACCTTTTGCAAAGTACCCTTAGTCAAAGGGAGCTACCCACGCAAATTTATGTCCCCTCCCTGGGGCAGCCTACACCAGTGACTGGTTGATTTCAGAATATAAAGGCCTTCTTCTCTCCATTCAAGACAACAGCAAGGGCCATCCCAGCTCCAAAGCATCTTGTAAGGTCAGCTGGTGCCTCTATTTAAATCCCTCTGCCTAATCCTGCTTCCTTCGCTCCTTATAAGTGTTCTAAGAGTCTCCCTAGTAAACCTCATGTGTCAAATCTCCCACCTCCAAGTCTGTTTTCTGAGAACCCAGCCTGTGATAAAGTATACATGCTTGAAATGCACATATTTTTTCTAGAACAGTTTCCCAAGAAGGGAAACTTGGCTACTTTATGTCACACTTACCTGGTA